CAGCAAAGCTCCAGCCCTGCCAAGGTCCCGGGGGGGCTCCAGCCCCTGGAGCAGTGGGAAACGTCCCCAGGGCTGGCAAAGCTGCTCCCAGTACAGGGAAAAGGTTCTTCCCAGGATGGGGCTGGTGCTGCAGAACCACGACTGGAGCAGCCCCAGTAGAACCATCAAATCATCCTGGTTGGAAGGGACCTTGAAGATCGTCAAGTCCAACCCTACAAGTCCATCCACCCCACCAAACTCCAGCTCCCATTTGCTTTGAACTGGGGCAACCCTGAACTCCACGGCTGCCTTCCCTGCTCCCCCTGGCCCAGTATCCACCAGCATCCACCAGCATCCACCAGCTCCAGCCCTGGCCCAGCTGCTTCCCAGTGGGATGCTGAGCCCAAAACCCCCTCTGCAGATGGGGAGGAATTTATTATTAGAGCATTTTATAGCCAGGGAGTGAAGCCACAAGGTCTGAGCCTCGTTAGCACGGAGGCTCTGGCACTGGAAAAAGGGCCTTAATGAGCTTTTTTTCCTTGCTGTAAAGTTCCTTTCTAGGGCCTGAGCATGAGGAGGAATCAGGTGTTAAGTGACTCAGCCGAGGTCAAAGGAGGAACTGGAGCTAAACCCAAACCTCTGTGGCCACCTCAGTCATTCCCTGGATTTGCAGCTCTCCCAAAACCCCCAGAGGGAGACACCTCCTCCCCCCACTCTCTGGGGTCTCCACTGAAACCAGCAGCCTCCCAGTCAAGGTGCTGGTTTGGAGCTGCACGTGCCAAAGCTGCCACCAGCAGCAAAATCTCCCCGGGAGCTTCTCCATCCACCAGATCCCATTTCTGTGGGGGGGGAACTGAGGCACAGAGAGCCAAGGGCACCAGTTGCTCCTCACTCACCCACAGGGCTCGGGCAGGCTCCATTGGTGTTGTTCAGGTCTCCCCCCAGCATCGCCCCTGGAAAACAATTGGAAAGGTGGGATTATCATCCAGAGCATCCCTTTTTCTTAATGGGGGGTGGGGGAGAAGGGAGGAAGAGGAGGAGCACAAAGGAGGAAGGCAGAGGAAAATAAGCCTGGAGAGAAAATCCTGGGCAAAACGAGCAGCATTCCTGGGGATCAGGTTGGGAAACATTCCCCAGGCAGCTCCGTTGCCTTTGGGAAGGAGCCAGGAGGCTCAGGAGCCCCTGCTCCAAAGGAGACAGCTTGGAAACCACCGTGGTTATTTGATCCCAAGTCCCTCTCTGGGGGGACACGGGGCTGGCACAGGCAGGGGCAGGAGCACCAGCACCACCACACCAAGCACCCACTGGAAACCATCCCTGTGTCCCCAGCATTTGGCCTCCCAGGGTCCCCACGTTCGGAAAACGGGGCAAAAAAAAAATCATCAAAGCAAACACAACATCCCAGAGGTTGGTTGGTTGGCTTTTTATCCCCAAAAAAGGCAAAACGAGCAGCATTCCTGGGGATCAGGTTGGGAAACATTCCCCAGGCAGCTCCGTTGCCTTTGGGAAGGAGCCAGGAGGCTCAGGAGCCCCCGCTCCAAAGGAGACAGCTTGGAAACCACCGTGGTTATTTGATCCCAAGTCCCTCTCTGGGGGGACACGGGGCTGGCACAGGCAGGGGCAGGAGCCCCAGCACCACCACACCAAGCACCCACTGGAAACCATCCCTGTGTCCCCAGCATTTGGCCTCCCAGGGTCCCCACGTTCGGAAAACGGGGCAAAAAAAAAATCATCAAAGCAAACACAACATCCCAGAGGTTGGTTGGTTGGTTTTTTTATCCCCAATAAAATGGAACTTTTTGCTTTTTTTTTTTTTTTTCCTGGCTTTTTGTTTTCTTTTTCCTTGCCTTGTTGTTGTTGTTGCTCAAAGGCACCTATTGAGAGCCTGGGGCTCCCTGGCCATGGGAAGTGACTTCGGCCACGGAGCTGCAACCACAGTCATCCCAGAGCCCTGAGCAAGGGAATGAGGAGCCTCCCACCCCAAACCCCACCTCTAACCACCACCCAACCCTTCTCACCCCAGATGGGGTAACCTGAGACAAACCCCCCTTTTTATTTTCCATGGCTTTTTTGGTCCCAGCCCTCAGGTCTGGGCTTGCAGTGAGTCCCTGGGAGGGGGGGAGGAATGTTGAGCTGCTGCCCTGCCCCTGGTTGGAGTGGGATGGGGAGATGGTGGTGGTTCCGCAAAATGTTTTGCAGCTTGAAAAAGGGGAAGGTGACCCCCAAAATGTGGCAGACAAGGCATCGTGGAGTCCTCCTGTCCAGGAGGGCTGCAAAAGCCAGCTGGAAACACAGGGTCTGCTCAGGAACAGGGTGAGCATCCCTGCCTTTTGGGGGGAGGAAGAGGAGGAGCACGAGGGAGGAAGGCAGAGGAAAATGAGCCCAGGGAGAAAGTCCTGGGAAAAATGAGCAGCAGGTTGGGAAACATTCTCCAGGCTGACCCATTTCCTTTGCAAAGCCAAAGGTCCTGGTGGCCCCAAAGTCCTGCAGGGGGGATCCCATCAGGATCGGGGGGCTGTGTCCTGCTGTGGGACCCCACCTGCACCCCAGCCCTGGGTGCCCACAGTGCCAAAAGGGGTTCAGCCCCTTTGGGGGGTCGTGCTGAGCCTGTCCCCAGCCCCACAGACCCCCTTGGTCACCCTTCTTAAGCACTTCTTGGTCAGTTGGTCACTTCTTAAGCACTGAACGGGTCAATGAGGTTGTTCTGGTTGGGGGATTTAGGTTATGGTTGGACTTGATGATCTTCCTTTCCAACCAGGATGATTCTGTGATTCCCCCCAGCATCAAGACACCAACCCAAGGCTCTGCTGGGCATTGAAAGACCAGCCCAGCTCTCTGCTCTCAGCTGAAAAAAAAAGAAGATTAAGGGGCAAAAAAAAAAGAATAAAAAAGCTCTTCTAACATGCAAGGGCCTGGCTCCTATAAACAGGATTTCTTCTGTGTCCCAGGCAGCAAGTGAATGAGACACAGATGGCTGGACTTGGAACACCTCTGTGTTTGCAACCACAAAATGATCCCCCCTCAGATGAAGGAGTGGGATGGAAGGACGAGCCCCCGTGGATTCTGCATCCCAACAAAACCTCCTTCTCTTGGGTTTGTTTTCAGCAGAGAGGCCTGTGAGAGGGAAGGGAAGATGCAGCTGGGGTCTGGGCTGGCTGTGCCTAAGGAGGGGTCTCCTGCCCAGCCTGGGGTGCTTTTTGGGCTCAGCCCTAGAGAAGAAAG